GGTTAAAATGCAAAGCTTGTTCTGTTCCAAGAATTTGTTACTCCGAGACAATGCTTCTGCATTTTTGTCCCCCCCCTTTTTTTTTCCTTTCTTTCCCTTTTTTTTTTTTTTTTTCCGGACAAATAGTTATGTGGCATGAGGCTTGTTATAGTTGGAAACATCCCTAAGTAAACAGCTGAGCTTAAAAATACTCCTTTTTTTTTTTTTTTTTTTTTTTTTTGTCTGGCCTTTAAAAAAATAATAGTAGTTATTGCACAAAAGAAGACTATGCCGATGCCAATCACTGCATTCAAGCTGAAAACAGGAAGCTGCCCCCAGTGTCTGTCCCCAGAACTTTGACTACCCTGCTTGGACATTAAAAGCCTTGGTGGAGGATGTGCCCTGTGCCATGAATTGGATCTCTTCATCTCTCACTCTTTTTTTTTTTTTTTTTTTTTTTTTTTTTTTTTTTTTTTTTTTTTTTTTTTTTTTAAATGAGGTGAAAGGTTGCCTATCACTGATAAGTCTATATCCTGCATGTTTGCTTCCTGGCCTCTACCAGCCTTCATTCATTTTGCTGATGATTTTCCAGCTTCTCTTCAAACAGGTAACAGTGATGGCAAGTTACCTGCTCAGGCAAGTGCTTCCCAGTGCTCCCTAAATCCTCTGCGTTATCTTGAGCATCCTGTTGTTTCTGAACCCCAGAGGAGAGGTCTGTGTTTCACTACAAAAGGCTGCCTCTTGCTCTGTGCTGGGGCAGCTTAGGAAGCAAGGAGAGATGGAGTTTGCATCATTTTCTGGTGCAACACACAAGAGCCCCAAGGTAATTCTGGATCTTAAAGCCTGACTGCAAGAGTGAGCAAACCAGGTCGTGCCAACTTGTTTCTCCAGCAAATCCCCCATCTCCAGGTAGACACTGCCAAGGAGCCTTCAGGGATTCCCAAACACCACAGAAATCTTCACTGAACTGGAGACTGCCTTGTCCCACAGCAAGGGCAAGACAGGGATGTTGTTTCGGCCCCAACACTTTTGTGCCTTCAGAAAGAACCTTTCCAGGGAAAAGGAGCTTGGGCTGCCTGAATGAATACATGTTCCCTGAGTTCAGCTGAGAATCCTGCAGCATCTGTTGTCAATCCCCTAGAGATGCTCTCTCCTGCTGCCAGGTGCTGTGCCTGCAGACATTTTACTGTTCTAGATTTAAGCTGGATTTCCAGGCAACTGATTTTTAATTTTTTGAAGTAATTTTTTCCCTTGAGGACAAATCAGATTTCCTTTATGTTCCTTTCCCCCATATCTACTTCAAATCAGATTCGTATGTGAAGTGAGAAGTCCACGGTGTTGATGAACACGGTGCAGGTCATGCACGACCAATACATTCATACGATCTTCAGCATGTCTTGGGAGCCTATAGACCACTGTGGAGACAAAAATTAGCTATTACTGTTAAGAAGAGAACAGAAAAGGCAATTTGTATCATCTCTAGCTACTGCTTCCTAGAAATCCTCCACTTCTGACAGTGCCCTCCCCAGCATTGAACCTGTAGGACTCTACGAATTTAACTGAGCTGCATTCCCACCACTGAGGAAAGGGAAGAAACCTGTTAGTTTTTATTTTGTGAGGGCAATAGTAGGACGAAACAATCTTCTTGTCCTTCACTTTGATCGTGAAAATGTAAAACCCAACACATAACCTACCAAGCGTCCAAGACCACAGGAAGAATCTGGAATCAGAGCTGGTGCTCAACACGTGTGGAAGGAAGAGCCTCTGCTGCTTTTTTGGCAGCCCACCCAGTGATGCACCACATTTGGCTGCTGAAGGTTGATGCCCTCGTGTCTGGGAAGGATTTAATCGCATCTCCCTTTTCGCCATCACTCAGAATTAGGAAGCTCACAGGCAGGAAAGGTCCCTCCCCTCTTCTCACCAACGCTCCCCTCACAGCACAGCACTGCAAGCTGAGTGGTGGGTCAATAGCAGGACTCACAGATCTTCCTTAAAAGTAAGCTAGGGTTGTAAAGCCACTTTCCCCCACCATTCCTCAGAGCACACAAAGGCGAGTGGGTACCTCATCTCTCAGCTTTTGTGAGCCATGTCATCCCGCCGGCGCAGGGTGAGGCAGCTCTCCGGGGCCAGCACAGCACAAGGGCTCATGACAGTGCAGTTCAGCAGGACTTTGTTAATCATTTAGGCAGCCTCCATTTAATTCAGACATCCCAGTCTCTGCGCTCCGGTTCCTCCCTCGGGTTTTGCAGACTCTGAGCAGACAGATTTATTGGGGTCTTAGGCATAATCAGGAACAAATTAGCCTCTGTTAGGATCACACACTGGCCTGGATCACAGCTATTCAAAGGCTGCCTTCCCATCCATGTGGGTTTGAATTAAGTCATCGGGTTGGAGTAGGTCTTGAGTATTCTTTTATCCCAAACACATGATCTTATCAGAAGCCCATTACGTTTATCATCGCATTAGGAGGGAACATTTGGAGCCAGTGCAGGAGTATGCTGCTATATAAATGTTGTGCTTACTTCAGTGCCTGTCGTGAAAATAAGTCAGTGCTCTGGGAAGGCCGGGAAACACTGCCTAAATGCATGTGCCTAAAATTAGGCTGTGAGTTTCTCTGGGTATGTGTTTGCGAGAGTGGGGTGGCTGAGTCAGGGATGTGTAAAGAGAGCATATGAGTGTTTGTGTGTCAGTGTTTCTGTCAGTGTGGGTGTGTGGCAGGATGATGGTGCTTCACTGTACGTGTTTATCTGACTGTGCATATGTTTAAAGGCTGAAGGTCAGGTCTTTTTAACATGGTAGGTATTTTCCTCTCTCCCCCCTTTATAGAAATAAACCACTTTTCATAAAATTACAAGGAAACTTTTTCAAAAAATACATATTTTCCTAGTTTTGGCATTTGTTTTTGAGGATTCTGATTGCTGACCACAATCTTTCCAGAGATTTTCTCAGAGATTTCTGCTGAGGCTCTCACTCAAACTGGGGCATAGTGCTCTGAGGTTGGTGAGCCACTTAGATTTATCCTAATGTTCTTGGATAGAGCAGAGACCCAGAGCCTTGATACAGCTCTGCAGAGAGAGGAGCAGAACAAGAGAGGCAGAAGGACAAGGTGAGGGAACCAGGAGTTTGTCTCCATGGCCATCACAGTGACACACTTGCTCTGCCCCTTCCTTGAGCTGGTCAGGCACAGAGCACGTCCCTCCCAGGGATGAATGATCCCTGCTGCTGTAGCACTGTGCCAGCATCAACAGGCCCTGCAAGGAATCAAGGTGTGCTACAGGGATGTCCAAGGGATCTCCAAGGTGTGCAAGGATGTCCTTGTTGGTATCAGATGAGGAGCAGCAGGGCCCTGCTGGCTCAGGGCTGTTGGGCACTCAGGCTGTGGGAGGAGGCAGGACAGCAGGGCCAGGGGGACAGCCCTGCTGGGTTGCCTTAGGGCCCATCTGCACATCCCCCCGGCCACCCCGGGGAGCCATTGTCATCTCTTGTGTGTGAACACTCCCCCCAGCGCTCCTCCTCGGGGCTCCTCGAGGTGTGTGGTACATGTTCGGTGGCTCCCAGACAAATGAAGATTTTAAGATGTGACATGCAGGGTCAGGAAGTTTGGCCACCCTGGGAATATTCACTCAGGCACAGGGCTGCACTCATACAGCTGAAACATTTCCAGCCATGTGCTGGCGCCTTTTTGCCAGCTCGAAGCGCTGGCCCAGCAAATACACAGTTCCCTGCACTTATCCACGTACACGAGTTGTCCACAGAGGTTGTGATGAAATGAAACTGTAATGACATTCTTCCCTGATAGACTTCTCTATTCTTTCAAAGCCACACTTGCTTAAAGACCTGGAACACTGCACGGGAGGAAAAGGAGTGAAAGTCATTTAATAATTGAATAGCAATAAACCCATTTTTTTTCTGGCTCATGATGGTATTCCACTGTATAAACCAGGAGGAAAAATAAACAGGGGATTTAGGAGTTTAGAAGTAGCTCAAAATTGAGCAGTCGTCGGATTTTCTGACACCTAGCTCGAGATAGTCCAATACTACTGACAGGATTTTCCTTAGGGATCACTTCCATCAGTCCAGCTAGCAGCTCTGGCTAATTTCCTACCCTTTTTTCAACAGGCTTATTTGCCAGACAAAAATACAACAGGCTGTCAGAACTGGATACCTCTGGGGACTGGCAATGATAATACAATACAAAATAGGATACCAACAGGTCAAAGGTTTCCATTTCACAGAGTACTCTAATGACTGAAAGTCATTATTGCTATGCAGTCTGTTTGAAAAGAGGAGATGGATCTCAGTTCAGTTTTTAATGGGCCAGTGTTACAGAAACAACCTCAAAAATTTGGCATCTTTGTTGGCACTCTCATTAGAGAAGCCACAGAATAAATGGACAAGGATAATAAAGTCTCCTGCTGCTTTTGATCCTTTCAGGTCAAATCTGAGTCATGTTGGTTGAAGCTGTGTGTGTATGTGGCAAGATTACCCCTCACACTTCGTATAGTGTATCTGCTTTGGATAAACAGATCTGTTTGGCCCTTTGGTCACTACAACTGTGAACTTGGCAGTTTTCACCATCCCTGCAGTCACGGTTGCTGTTGTTGTTTATTTGCAGATATCTTTAAAAAACAAAAAGGGAAACATTGTAGACCAAACCCTCCACTGGCATTTTTCCATCCAAGCTGGTGGAATTATGCCAACACCCACATTGTCTCTCTATGTATTTTCTATCTCTGCTCTCTTCTGTCTCCATCCTTTTAAAAGGAGAGAGATGAAAATAAGCAGAAAACCCCTAACATTAGGAAATATCTCGAGGGAATTACCCAATACAAAAGCTGACTGTTGTTGGTTGGCTGTTTTGAAATCACCTTGCTATGGCCTGGAAGTGACCAATGCTCCCGCTTCCCAGTGACCCGATCCAGCAAGATACACGACCACTGATGGTATCAGCTCCTAGCAACTGCACTGCAGATACGTGTAGCCAGTCCTTTGTGATTCCCCTTCTCTGCTTTCCCCTGCAGATGAACCCAGCAGGTGCTACTTCCACGATGGTGACGGAGTGTGTGAGGAATTTGAGCAGATGACCAGCATCAAGGACTGTGGCGTTTACACCCCCAAAGGCTTCCTCGATCAGTGGGCTTCCAATGTCTCCGTCTCGCATCACAGTGACCAGCAGTGCCCAGGATGGGTGGTCATCGGTCAGCCAGCAGCAACCCAGGTAAGGAAAGCACGCTCCCTTTCCTCTCCTGGAAGGGGAAGTCCACCAAGTGTTCTTGGATGTAGCTCAGTGGTCAGCGTTCATGGGTGCTCCTTCACCAAGGAAGGCCCCTTGACAGCAGTTTCCCTCTTTCTGAGCCTGATTACTAGCAATGAGTTGAAATTCAGCTCCAACCATCCAACTAGAACTGGCTCAAGTTGTGGCCTTCTTGAGTCAATAAGCTTTGCAGGAGTCACCTCAACCAACCATCATCACCTCAAAGACAGACGGGCTCTCCAGAGTGTCCACAGGGTATGATTTTGTGGCAGTGAGTTCTGAGGGCTAATGCCGAATAATACAGAAGTGTGTTCTTTCTTTTTTAATAGTTCTGTGTTTTCTGCCTCCCAGTTTCATAAAAGCACCCTATTGTTCTATTCTGAGAAAGGTCCCGTCCATTCCCAAAGACATTCATTAGCTTTAACGCCCTTCTCCCATGTCTCCTTTGTAACATAAACAGCTCCAGTTACCATAACTTTACCTTTTGTCTCTCTGAGAGAATTAGATCCAAATGAGTTCAAAAAGGCCTCGGTTAAATGCCTGGAAAACAGAGCTGTACAAGATGCAGATGCAACAGTCCAGATGAAACCTGACTTGAGAAAGCCCACATTGCTTATTAGTTTTTTAGAGGATACAGCAGGGAAAGGATCTTCATATATAAGAGCTGCTTCGTATGTTCCTCCTTCAGCACTCACCACTGCCCCTTGCTAGAGACAGAGCACTCATCACACAAATCAACTCAGGTTCACTTGTGGTTAGGATGCAGAAAAGTTGTTCTGAGAATCTTAATTATCCAGGAGTTGTCTTGAGTGGGCAGTGCAGAGAGGGGTGCCGTGTCACAGATATGTCAAGCAGATTTCTCCGTGGATAGTAAACTCTAAGCTTTTCCAGTTGGCTTGCAAGAGAAAACATCTTTATGCAAGAGAATTGGCCTTGTTCACATTGCACAAGTCTGTAACAAATTAATGACCAGGTCAGTTCTAAATGCACAAAGCGTGGTTAGCTGGCATAGTATCAAGACAGAATCTCGAGCCCAGTGTTGCCTTTTTGTCATGGTCTCATTTATTATTTCACACTGTAAAGGGAACTTTCCTCTGGACCCCTACCAGTGCCTTCGTCACTTCTTTCTCCTTCGAGTTCCCCGTGCTGCAGCAGTGTCTCCAGTTCAGGTGCTGTTTTTTGGGCACATCCCCAGGCACTCCCATCAGAGAGCTGCCCTGATTTTGTTTGATGCACTGGTAGGAACTCAGCCGCTCCACTCAGTAGGTAACATATGGTCCTGTGGTGGAAAAACCACCACCACGCACACACACAACAGAAAGCCCTGCTGGGTAACCACAACTCAAGCGTGTTTGTTGTACCCAGATGAGATGAAGTTGTCACAGCCTTGTTAAAAAAAAAAAAAAAAAAAAAAAAAAAAAAAAAAAAAAAAAAAAAAAAAAAAAAAAAAAAGGCAAAAAAAGCTGTTGTATTTATAGGCAGAGCAGTAGCATATCACACACTGGCAGAGTGAATGGGAACATGCCTCCTGTTATTGCCTTACCCCCAGGGAGATAACAGTGGGCTATTTACTTCCAGCAAAAGGAATTTTTGCTTTAGCTCAGGTGGTCCCATTACACCAGTTTGAGTGCATGGGGCTCGTTGACCTTTTTAATCATATATGTTGAGAAAGGCTTTGTTTTCCCCAGGAACAAGACAGCCTTGCTGGCTTGGGAAAGCACCTGACTTGTCACTCCAGAGAGGTTAGGTGGGGCAGCAGGTCATCAGTCTGTTAGCTAGAGGAGATGAAAATTAACCTAAGATCTCCTCTAATCACTGCATGTAATGATCACTGATGTGTAAACATGTTTGGCTTCATTATCTGCACAAGCACTGAGCCTTAGGGGTTTTCTGCATTGATGAAAGGAGCACCTTTCCTCACCCAGATACCTTTCAGAGTAGGTTGTGTGCTTGTTGGTCTTGTGCAAACTTTTCATGTTGTTGCTGGGTAGCTTCCTGATTAATCAGAGTGGTATTTGTGTTGGCTCCTCATCAGGAATGCCATGAAAGATATGTTTGAGTGCAGTGCACAGCAATATACAGAATACATAAGCTGTCTGTTGTTAGCCATCCCCATTTCTCATAATTGCCCCACTGCTCTCAAGGTGCTTTAAAACATTTTTAGCATGCTCTGACTTAAAATGTTTCTCATCCTTAGATATCTCAGCACTTGTTTCTCTGCATGACTGTCATAGTTTTGTCAAGGCTTTTTCTAGGGGGTTTGCAATGCAGGTTGGTTTGTTGTTGTGGTGTCTCTCAGAAATATCTGCCTATATGTGCTTGTTTACTGCTGGAGGATTGTTGATGAGCACAAGCTGGAGTCTTGTTATTGTAGGGTTGCTTCTGTGACCTGTTTGCTTAGTTCAGTGAAGATATTGCCCAGTTCTGCTGGTGTTTCTTCCTTAGATGCCCACACTGGGTTATTAGTCCAAGGTGGATCTTGCACCACTTGTTAGTGTGAGGCTGCCAAATGGCAACATACTAAGGGAGATAAAAAAGAAAACTCAAAGTATAAGATTTGTTTAGAACAACAAAATGCTTACAAAGAGTGACACAGTCTTGGCGAAAAGATACGGATTTGAAAAATGGAAAGGTCAAACAGCCCCCCCTTTAAACAATCGCCCTTTCTGCAGAAGCAAGACTGAGAGACAGCCACTTCTACTTTTCTGGCAGCCACCCTTCAGTGCTGATTAAGAAATATTCTCAGTACTGACAGCATCATATTCAGAGCCAAAGAGGGCCACTCAGCAACATTGCACCAGCACAGAAGTGCAAGCACCAGTGCAGGGTGTTTCTGCAGTTTGATTTCCAACCTGGAATCCTCTGCAGACCTGGAAGCAGATGCTGCTCAGTACCTGTTGTCAAATGCAGGAGGGATTCAGCAGTAAGGGCTTTGCACACTCTTGAGCCACTCTTTTTCCCGCTGCTCCTGCTGGGAGTTTGTAAAGAGCCTCTCCTTGTGTGTGAAATACCATCAGTGTTGACGTGCAGAGCAAAGGCAGGTGGGTGCAAACCAACCACAGGAGGCTGGAGATGCCATTTCTCCTTTCCTCTTGCTGGTGTCACTCCTGCTTTCGGAAAACTGATTCATCTGCAGTTTCCCTTTGAGCCTTCACAATAGGAAGAGGCTGATGGATCTGATTCCTGACCTTGTTACTCCTGTCACAGCAATGTGTGCTCAGGACTTGGAAGTTGGTTTGAGGGTTGGTAATTTAGAAGGCCAGTTCCTCAGGAACTGTCTTTTGTTGTGTTTCCTCCCAGTTGTGCAGCTGTTTAGAACAAGTAACCATATATATATATAATATATATATACAAAGGGGTTTTTTTTCTCCCTATGTCATTGTTTGACCTTGGATTTCCAAGAAAAAGCTGCACAGCTCAGGCACAGTTAACCAAACAGGGACTCCTCTTTCCCAAGGCTGCTGGGCACAGACAGATCCTGGGATTTGCTTTCATTCCCAGACTAAAGAACACACCCTGTTCTCCTCTGGGTACCCCACAGGGGCTTCTATGGAGTAAGAAGTTGTGGAAGAGTATTCTTATTACATCTTTCCCACAAACAGAGGCCCCCTCCTGCCCCTATTACAGTTCCCACAATTGCACTCATCCAGACTCACTGCAACAATCCTTCCACCAGCAGCAGAAAGATGTCTAGAATTGCAGTATGTCTGGAATAGCCCACAAAAGGAGAAGAAAGGAGCACAGAAGTATTCTGAATACTAAAAGAAATAACATGGTAGAGCAAGGGCTCCAAGAGTGGTAAGAAAATACCATAAGAAAATTGAAAAGAAGGATGATGAAGTTCTCTGCCACGGAGTTTTATTCTGTCTAATAAATATAAAGCTGAAGATAATTCCCCAAAGATCCAGCAAAGCCAACAAATAGAGTAATCTTGAACAGGAGTGGGAAGAGAGGAAACCTGCAACTTTTAATGGAGAAGCCATTCCTTCCCTTTGGGGTGATCTTGCTGAGAAGAGGGAGGGTGTCTGTCTGTCGGCTCTGCAAGTGGCCCTTTTTGAACTCCCCAATTCACAGCCAAGTCCTGTTGCTCTTCAACGGTAAGAGTTTTGTTGTGGTTGGAGGGATGAAAAAATCCCCTTCTTTAATAGGATGATTTGCTTTGCAAATGTCTTTGTTATTTATAGCCGAGCCAGACTTTGAACCACTAAGCTCTGGAGGATGAGGGCAGAATCCCACTAAGAAAAACCATTAATGGAGGAACCATGAGTGAGCAGAGACCAGTTCTGGAAAAAGCTGAACTGGACACTGTGCACAGGCTGTCGCAAAAGGAATGTAGGTCTGCTGTACGAGGGTGAGCTCATTTCCAGTACTGGCTGATCCACCAAAGGCTTCAGCTTGGGTTACAGAGTCTCCAAGTCTAAAGTTAGTTCAAGGGGTCCAAAACTTTGTCTTCATTTCCCCTGGAAACTACAGACCAGCCAATTTGGTCTTTTGCCTGAAGGCTGGAGAGTTGCATCACGGGCCTGGCTCTGACTGTCAGGCAAATTCAGGCTGGAATTCTCCTGCCTTGGATTAAGTAATGATATTTTTTTGTATTTTTTTTCAGTGTTCAGTGATTAATTAAGCCTTATCACAGCCACACTGCTTGGTTTCTGTTCTGTTTAATAGAGGTGGAAACCAGAGCACACAAAGGTAAAGCTACTGTTTGAGGATTAGACCTCAGTATCTTTCAGAGACGTTGCAGGCACTGGGCATTACTGAGCCTAAACCTCCCCGGCACCAGGAAGTTCAGGATGTCTTGAAATGAAAATGTTCATATCTTGGATAAAAAGAAAACTGTTCAGGGCCTGCTGAGAGTTGCTGCCTGGGAGCAGAGACCTAGAAAGGGGTTTGAGGTCATTAAATCTGCATTTTAGCTCTGTCAGGCCCTCACATCACCCTGTTTGTGAATTAATCAGTCTTCA